CCTCTCTCTCTTCTCTTTCTCTCCTCTTCTCTCTCTCTTCTTTCTCTGTCTCTGTCTCTGTCTCTATCTCTATCTGTCTCTCTTTGTAAGTTGGGAATTTTGACAGGCTTCATCTCCTTTGAGGGCAGCAGATCCCAGTTGCCCCCTTTCTGTCCCCTCCAGCTTCCCTCTTTCAGGGGCCATCCTAGCTCCCTTGCCAAGTTCATCCCATTCTCTTGCAATGCAGGGTTCCCTGGCTGGCCTCCACACCACGGCAGGCAGCAATCTGGCCTCTCTCAAACTTGTCTGTGTTGAGCTGAGTTGGTCCTCAGGTAAAAAGCCCTCACTCCCTGGAACCCCAAGAGAAGTGGTAGGGGTGGTTGTGGGTGAGAAACACTTCTGAGGCAGGCCTACGTGTAGTTCCGGCCCTGGGGTTGCCCACAGCAGCAGCTTTGAGGGAGAACACAAGGTTCTTTTGTTGGTCCACTAGGACCCTCACAAAAACCCTGGAAAAACCAGCCAACCTTGAAATGATGCCCTCCCTCCAGAGGCTTCGTTCTTCCCACTTGTGCCTGCTCCTGTGGCATCTCCCTTCAGGTGCCTGTGATTATAAAACTTGGTGTTGTTCAGATGGGCGCCTGGTAAAGCTTGCTCTCCAGAAGGAAGGGTGCTCCAGGCTCATGAGGCAGTGTGGTACACTGGAGAGGGCTGACCGAGGTGTCACAAGACCTGGGTCCTCCATCATTGGCCTCCATCGATGGCCATTATGGCCCCTTCCAGACTTAGAACTATGATTCTCTGATCCCTTTTTTGTCAGAGTAATACGTAAGAGTTTTTTAAAAGTCTAAGTCAGGGGAGTGCCGCATGGGAGGCATGAATGGACATGTGGGGACTTTCAAGCTAGCTTTGACTTTCCCTGGTACCTTCCTGGTATTACGGACCAGGAGTAGGAAAGCTTTCAGGCAAAGGGACTGACTTTTCATGGCTTGAAAATGTTTCTTCAGGGACTCCCAGCCTTTCCACAGTCCGAAAATTCATGGAAATGTTAGTCATGATGATATTTAATTCCTAAGGCCTCTACTTGGCATCTTGAATGCACATGAAATGTCTCCCCTTCCTCCACAGTGGAGTTGGTGCCATGCCATGAGCACAGATATTAGGATTCAGAATTTCTCAAGTGTGTTCACCCAAAGATTGGTTTTCTGTTCTTGCATGGGTATGGGGAAGCTGTTCCCATTTTCTTTTCATTTTAAACCAAGTTAATTTTCTGACGCCACCTCCCCCATGTCTCTTGCATCTGTCCTCTTCTCTCCTTTTACATCATGACCACCCTAATCCGCACATAACGGTGATTACCCTGGTCCCCCACTACCCAGAAGTCATGTGTGTTACATTTGACCCTGCCCTCCCCCAGGATTCTCTGGTACCCATTAAAGGGACTTGAGGGATATATGGTCTTTGCCTTTGGCTCAAGCCCCTATGAATTATATTCCCTTAATTTCAGGGGGTCTCCTGCACCCCAGTTCTATGAAACCACTTAACAATCAGAAGGAATATTTGCTTCAAAGTAAACTCAGATCAAACAAAACATGCCCCCCTTCAACATGTCAGGGCATAAACCCCCCTTCCACAACCTTAGTCTTCAGGAGGGCTCATGTTCTGTACAGCATGGTCCCATCAGGTTCAAAGTCCAAAGCGCTCCCCTCACTCCCAGCTTTGATCCCCACAAAGTCTTCTCAGGACTATTCTTCTGGGCTGGCAACAGCATATGGCCTAGAATCTTGCCTCCAAGGTTACCATGGCTTAAGCTGTCAGGTCCAGGGACTCTACCATCTGTGCCTAGAACTGAGGAGAACAAACAAAGCAGGCCAAAAGTTCAAATCCAATTCTTAAGGCCATGGGGTGTAAGGGAAGAAGGGGAGAGGCGATCCTTGTCCCCACTCAGCTTTGTTCATGAAGCCCATGGTAAGAATGAATAGGACCTTCCCCCTTCTGGATGCAGAGAGGGACAGAGACGGACAGCCACGCAGAGAGACAGAGAGATACAGATAGAGACAGAGACTGCCCCAGCTTGGTAGTTTTAGACACAGCCTTTTCTGGCTCCACAGTCAGTAGAAAAGGCTGCTCCCATCCATGGCATAGGGAAACTGTGAGATATCTTCTCCTAGAAACCGGTCTCTGCCATCTTCCCCATGGCCGCCGCCATCTTGGGTGATCTGGACATGCCCCAAGCCCACATTCCACACAGAGTCGTAGCCTTAGAGCTGGAATTTGGACGTTGGTCACTTCTCATTTGACCTATTAGAAGAACTTCCAAGTTGAACTCCTACCTCCAGCCTCTCTTCTTTGATCCCCCCTCCCTACATTTGCCAAATTAATTTCCCTTCCTGGGATCTCACCTGGTCACCTCCTACTCCAAGATCTCCAGTCAGTGCCTCGACAGTGACCAAGTGCTTACTTAGATTAGCAGGCACTGTGCTCTAGGTTTTGCCTCTAGGAGAAAACATAATATCCTCAGCCTGGTATTTCAAACCCGGGACAACACGGCTCCCGCCGGCCTTTCTGTTGTTCCCTTGTTTAGGTTGAGTCTGACTCTTCATGACCCAGTTTCAGGCTTTCTTGGCAAAGATACAAAACATCTTGGTTCCCACTTACCTTTCCATCTTACTTAATATTTGCACACTCACTTCTACTCAAATTCACCTTCTGCTGTTGTTCAATCATGTCCAATTCTCCCTGTCCCCATTTGGGGTTTTCTTGGTAAAGATGCTGGAGAGGTTTGCCATTTCATTCTCCAGCTCATTTTACAGGTGAGGAAACTGAGGCAAATAAGATTAAGTAACTTGCCCAGGGACACCAAACTAATAAGCGTCTGAGGCTGGATTTGAACTAGAAGTCCCTTCTGATGCTACATACTTAACTGCAGAGGAAGGAGGGACCCAACACATTTCCCATTACTAGTCTAGTCTGTACAAATTCAGATAAGTCATTTTAATATAAAATTTGCTTTATGGTGAATAATAATAATCATAATAATCATCATTATTATTACCACAGTAATAATAGCTTAGCATCTTTATAAGATTTTAAGGCTTGCAAAATGCATATGTGTTATCGCATTTGATTTAATCCTCCTAACAATCCTTTGAGGTAGGTGCTATTATATTTCATTATCCCCATTTTACACAAGAGGAAACTGAGGCAGACAGAGGTTAAGAGACTTCCACGGGGTCACACAGCTAGGAAGTGTCTGAGGTCAGATTTGAACTCAGATCTTCCAGACTCGAGGCCCAGAGCTCTATCTACTGAGCCACCTAGCTTTCTAGAAGTTACTCAGTTGCTGCTATTCTGCATTGGAGGAGGGAGGGAAGCTTCCACACTGGGAATTCCTTCCTTTCTGGATTTCCTTTGTCACCCACATTTGGCAGGACCAAAAAGTATTATTTTCCTAGAGCTGAGTGGCTTCACCCCTCCCCCCACCAGGGTACCAGAAAGCAACTCACTCTTCCTCCCACGTTCCCCATTGTCTATGAATGAGTGACGGGAAATTCTTTTCTTAGAAGCACACAGTACTAGGAGTCACAAGGTAGATTTTCTCCTCAGGAGAAACATCTGCTGCCTCCTTTAAAGAATACCATGCTTGTTGGCCAAGGTATCAGTTAGAAACAAACAATGCTGACCCCCCGCAGGCGCTCAGAATTAGGGAAGAAGAGGAAGAGGAGATGGGGGTGGTGGTACACGCAGCCACATAAGAAAGGCTGGCTTTGTCTTCAGTGGACGCCTAGGCTTGAATATGGCTCCAGTGTTGACCAGCTGTATGAAGTGGGCCTTCCCTCTGTAGACCTCAGTTTCCTCTTCTAGAAAATGGAGGTAAGAATGCTTTCCCCCCATACCTCCTAGGGTAGAAGAATGAGCAACACTCTGTAAACGCCCACGGCATCCAGAAATGTGAACACTAAAATAGGAATCATTTCATTTTATTTTATTTTTTCAGAAATGTGTGACCGAAGAGTGTTTCTTCTTTGAACGTCTCGAGTCTAACAACTACAATACTTATCGCTCGAGGAAATATTCCAATTGGTACGTGGCACTGAAACGCACAGGGCAGTACAAGCTTGGCTCTAAGACCGGACCGGGGCAGAAAGCCATCCTTTTCCTTCCCATGTCTGCTAAGAGCTGATTGGCGCGGGGCCCTCAGTTTCTTCTTCCATTCCAAAAGGAGGCGGGGAAAAAAAAAAAGGACGGGAAAAAAAGAAGACACAAGCTTGTTTACTCATTTGGGATGACTTTGACCAAACAGTAAGCTTTTATTTACCGGGGGTGAGTTAAATTGTTGTGTCAATGTGGAAGGAAAACAACAGCACAACAAGCTTGGAGATTGCCTGAAGTGACTGATATGTCCATAGTGACACGTGATGGGCCTCCCTGGAAGGAAGCACTCCTCTTTTCTTGATTCTGGCTCCCTTTGTAAAAGAAACTTCTAAAGATGTGCACATTTTTAAACACATTCATCCTTAAAGAAATAATGTAGAAAAGACAGGTCTAGTGATCGCTCCCCCTAAGTCTATTACTCATTCATCTGTCCCATAGACTCTTTTTAAATTATTAAAGGATGTAAATGTGAATTTTAATCCATTCTAGCTACATTTTCACAGAGCTCTGGCAACTCCCTGTGATAGAGTTTATAGAACAGGCCTGTGTAGACAGAGGGGAGTTCCCGCATGGTGATGTCGATCTTCTCAAACCCTTCCCTGTGCCCGTAGAGCAGCAAATTTGCTACTTTGCGCGTGATGGGAGTTGTGTCGTCTGTTTGCGCGAGGTCTGTGAGATTCATCCACTCACACTTCAGGCACTCGTGCGGACAGAAGCTAATGTGGAAGGAAAGCGGCTTCAGCCGGCAGACGATGTACATATCTGACTTCCCGAATGCGTTGGGGGCCCCGTGTTGCTGCCTGATACTCAGGAGGGCTTTGAATTCCGACTTGATGCCAGTCTCTTCCAAAACCTCTCGAATAGCTGTGTCTCCTGGGGAAAAGAAAAGAATGTGCAACAGATCACATTGCGGGGGACACATCCTTGTGGAACGTGGTCCTTTGAGAGATCACAATCTGCTGCCACCTCAAAGGCCACATTCCCAATGCCAACCAGTGAAGTCTTCACATGCCTTTGGCCAAGAAGGAAGCCTGTGGGGACACCCTGAAAAGGATGAGACCTACGAATGACTTTCTTTTTTAAAGGATTTAATATTTCATTTTTCCCCAATTACACGTACAAACAATTTTCAACATTCATTTTTAAAACTGAGTTCCAAATTCTCTCCTTCCCTCCTCCCCACCTCCCTCATTTAGGAGGCAAACAATTTGATATAGGTTATACGTGTGTATATGTAAAACCTATTTCCATTAGTCATGTTGCAAAAAAAAAAAAAAAAGAGAGAGACCAAAATAAAAACCCAAGAAAAATAAAAAAAGCAAAAAAAAAAAAAGTCTGCTGCGATCTGCATTCAGACTCCATCAATTCCTTCTCTGGGGATGGATGGCATTTTTTATCCTAAGTCCTTCAGAGTTGTCTTGGATTTATAAATGACTTTCTTACAATACAACTGGGATTCTTTTCTGAAGCGGCTGATCCAGTGAATTGCCAGAGGAGTCAACCTCTGCAAATCTGGAACAACAGAGTGGAGACCTGGCTACTTATTTTAATGGATGAGAGGTCCACGTGCCCAATGCCCGTCCAAGCTTGGGTCATCTGCACCACGAGGGGAAAAGACACAATTTGTCCAGCCTTCATGAACAGATTCGGGTCCTCGTGGAATCTTAAAGCTGGAGAGGAACTTAGAGGCATTGTTTCACCCCAGATAAGGAAACTGAGGCCACAGGGAGGAAGGAATTTGTCTGAGGTTATGTATGTGAGCCGGGGCTAGAAGCAACATCTCCTAGCTCCTGGTTCAGTGATGTTTCTCCCACTACCAAATGCTGCTGTTAAACTGTTGAGTGACTGTTCTCTCCTGAGGGTCTGTTCTGACCTGTGGGGGAGGTCTCCATACTTGCTGGGTAGGCCAGCTCACGTCCTTTCTGTCTTTGGTTAATGGCAGCTCCTGCCTCCTTGCACCGTGTACCCCTCTTTAACCCAGGGCCAAGATTCCAAGGAACCCAAATGGACTTGAGCGAGACTAAAACACTCCATTGACTACTTATCTCACTGTTCAAATTTCTTTCTAGATAATAGTGTGAGTAATGAGCACTTTTTAAGTACAACATTGTTTTTTTTCTAACAACCTTTCTTAAATAATTGAAAGTAAATACGGTGGACTTCATTGTTAGACTCCTAGACTTTGAGCTACAAGAAATCTCAGAGCTGGTGTGGTCCAACCCTAGATAGTCAGAGATGAAGAACCAGACGAGTCAGTGACTTGCCCAGAGTCGGGCAGGTATGCGACATCAGAGCCCTAACGGGATTATTTCACTCCTGGGGCATAAATTCCTCCTTGCTCTGCACATCCAGCCCAGTAGTGACCTGTCCTAAGCAAACGTTCCTGGGCGGATTTGCCCCCGGGCTTCTCTTCTGTGACCACTCAAGGACCCTGGACACAGCTCCCCAGCACTAATCAATCCTGTTCCTTGGATGCCATCACAGGACCCCAAGAGCGAGTGTTAGGAAGGTCCTTGGAGGTTTGCTGCTCTTGAGCCCCATTTTATGGCTGAGGATAAAGGGGACCAGAGAAGGGAAATGAAGGCGATAGCTAGCATGTGGCAGAACCCCCTTCTCTTTCTTCGATTCCCATTGGCTGTAGGCATCTGGTTTCCTTTAAAATACTTTTTTCAATTGCTTCCACTGTTGCTGGCTGTCAAGCAATAAGGTTGTTGGAAAGCAGGCATGGAAGGGAGTGGAAGAAAATGTCTCACTTCCCGGCATCTCCCTGTGGGCTCTTCCTGGAAACTGTCTTTCCATCTCCCTGCCTTCCTTACTACTCGGTCTCCTGTTTCAGCAATGCTGGCAGAGGGGAAATTTGAGGGACTTAAGAGGCTACAGGATTTGGTCCCCACTTGTTAAATGGACCTGTAGGTTCCACTACATTAACTGCTATAATGAAGAGTCAACTGTAGGCCAAGACGTACTTAGAAATTACAGTCTTAAAAATAAGGGAAGAAATCCCAGAATATAATTTGGAAAACTCAATTCATTTTTTAAGGAGCAAAGTGGTTGAGTTTTCTTTCCTCATCATTCGAGGCCATGACACTCATTTTGATCTAGCTACACTTTATATCCTATATCTATGGATATAGATAAACTTAAACTACTTAAGCTACTCTTGACATTTTTTCAAGCAAAGCTATTTGTAAAAGCATTTAAAAGGTACAAAATCCTTTGCCGTAATCGTTTCTTACTACTCCTACCCAGAGAGATTGGCATTGAATTTATAGCCTTGGCCCTTGTATAACTGGAGGGTGAGAACTCCTGGGTCTGGGGCAGTGGGATCCTTGCACGTCTAAACAACCAAAATTCCAGATAATCAAGAGTCGGTTCTTTAACCAAAACGATAATGTTTAGTCTATAAAATGGACTGGGAAAATGAGAACAAGCAGGTGTTTGGGTGTCCAGCATGCATGGCTAATGCACAAGGATGGAACTCATCTGGGATAACACGAGGACGTCATGCCCTCCCATGGGAGAAAACTTCTCCCACAGCAGGACAGATTTCAGTTTTGCTTCAAAGTAAATTCCTCGATTTTCTTGTTCTGCTATTGTTTGTACAATTTTAATGTACTGTAAATTAACCAGAAAGAACATTTTGCGAGTCTGAAGAGCAAATGGAAAGCTGTCTTCTGTCATTATTATTATTATTATTATATTGTTGTTATTTTGCATACATAAGGTCAGGTCTATCTATGTTATGCCTTCTACGGGACGATGCTGAAATGATGATGACTGTTGTCCTTTGTGTTTTGTGATATGTATTTAACAATGATCGGGAAAGGGCTTGGTAGAATATATGTTTGCCCTGTTTCATGTGCACTGACATTCTTTGTGTGATCTGTCCCAGATGCTGCCTCATAATCTTGCATGCTGTTTGTCCTTCATTCTCCAAGAGGACCATGACATCAGGGAGATGATGCCATGACATGCAAGTGAATGGGATTTAAGCGAGGGAGGGCTGTGCAAAGTCATTAACCTCAGTTTCTCCTCCAGAGCCTTCTGGGTTCCAGATGTGGTTCCAGAGACCTCTGAGGCCACAAAATTCTTGGGGTTATTTTCTTGGCATTTCTTGTCCTTAACTAATCAGAGTTCCATTTGATTTCTAGGTTATTACTATATTCCAACACAATGTATAGAGATAGGGGCTAGACTTGTAATTTTGTAGATATAGGGGATTCCCTCTATCAGTCAACAAAGGTCTTTGTAATTTTGTCTTAGAGTGTTGTTGCCTAGAGCCTTGGGAGGGAAGTGACTTGCCCAGGGTCTCACAGGGGCAACTCCTCCCGGTTCCAAGGTCAGACCATTTTGTTCCTTTTTTATGTTCTGTCCTATATCACCCATTTATCTGGAGGCCCAAAGGGAATGGGGCATTCTGTGGCAATACATTTTCCAGCTCCCCTGAAATTTCTCCTTTTAAGCTCCAGAAACTTTTTTTAACTGAAATATTCCTAAAATATATTTTGCTTCCTTAAAGGGAGTAGCTGCCTAGGTTAAGCCATCTCTCGCACCTATTCTGGATGCTCGGCGTCGTCTTCTTTCCCATCAGTGATGGTCTTAGGAGTTAACGAGGGCTGTGTGCTCTGCTCTTGAGAATCTCCTACCATGGCTCTCCTTCTATTCTTGTCGCTGTCCAGGAACTGCTGCTGCCTAACTTCACAGGCCCGAGGGTGGACTCTCTCACTTAAAAGTCAATCGCATTGGCCTTAGGAGAACTCTTTGTTTCTCAGACAGCTTTCTTTTCCTTCACTCTAGACTAGAGGTTCTTAACCTGAAGTCCATGGACCTATCTGTAGATAGATTTCAGGGGTCCGATAACTTGGATGGGAAAAATTCCATTTTTTATGTCAATGTAACTGGTTTCCTCTGTTGTTCTATGCATTTTATTTTATGCAGTATTCAGAGAAGGGGCCCAAAGGCTTCCCTAGACCACCTAAGAGGTCCCCAGCACAAGCAAGGTTATGGGCCCCTGCTCAAGAAACTTGAGACCTGCAGATGCCTAATCTTTGGGTTAAGTGGGGGCCTTGTTGGGCATAATGATCCGTGTATGGCCAGCTCTTAGTTATCTGGGCTAATGGGAGGGCTCGGGAGTGTTGAAGATGCAGAAATCACTCACTGCTTGTCTTACTCCAGTACTTCTATTTGGATAATGGCGAATCATCTTCTAGGCATTCCTTACTCCAGATAAAACCATGTGCCTCCTCTATCTAGAAAGGAGAAGCTTGAAAGCTCTTCATAATTCCATTGGATTCAAAGGATCATAAACCTAGAGATGGAAGACACCACCCCCCTCATTTTGCAGATGAGAAAACGGAGGGACAAAGTGACTTTCTCATAGTCACACAGGTGACATGCCATATAGAGGCAGAACACGGATGATGCATTCGAGGCCTCCTTTCTAGAGCTCTGTACCAGTTCATTCTGAATGACCCAAAGGAAGGGTCCCAAGCAGAGGTGACCTCTTGGCCTGCCTTGTTCATTTCTTTCCTAGGGTTGACTTGGGGCCAACTAAGTGTGTTGGTAGCAAAATCCTCCTCCCTGAGCCTGCTACAGGCCAGGTATCCCTTTTATATTAACAAAGGATTTTAAGAATCTGAAAGCCAGAATTGCTCCTTGTAAACCCTCCTGCTTGCAGGTCGTTGAGAGCTGGTCATGGTAATAGATTAAAGATGAGTATATCTGGGTGACATGTTGGTATTGGAGCAGTAACAAGAAGGAAGTAGTTTTTCAAATGAAATCAATTTTAGGAACCCCTATAAATTGAAGTTGGAATATTTAGTCTTGAGGGAAGTAATACCAAGTGGATCCCTCCAATTTTTCACTGATGTATTCTAACTAGGATTTTAGTTCCAGGCCTGACACCATAAAATGGCCCTGGTCTTGGTGACTGATCATCTCTGAGCAGCCATCTTTTTTTGGCTAGACAATGGGGTTAAGTGACTTGCCCAGGGTCACACAGCAAGTGAGTGTTACGTGTCTGAGGCCGGATTTGAACTCGGGAGCTCCTGACTCCAAGACCAGAACTCTATCCACTGCACCACCTAGCTGCCCCTCTGAGCAGCCATCTTTCTTCAGGATTCCTCCATCCACTGCTCTGGAGGTTACTGGCACGAGGTATGCTTTGACCGGTGCCTGGCACACAATGGGAGCTGAACTGGACCAATTTCCCTGTCTGATTTCTGAGGGGAGAGTTATGTTCTCTCCTATATAGGTCTGCATGCCTATCTAAATGCCAGATTTAGATATGCCTATCTAGACTTTACTGACGGCTGTGCCTCTCTTTCCTGACCACCTTTCAAGGTCTTCAGGATTCTTTTATGGGCCACTTTTGGTTGGGTGGATCTGAGTCATAATAAGTGAAAAAATATGAATAAATAAATAAATAAACTCCAAATGGAACATGGATTAGGCAAACTGATTTAGTGTAATGTCCTAGGATTTTGGGTTTAGAACAGGAAGGAGTCTTAGCGGTCATTGAATCTAAGCCTCCCATTTTGCAGATGAGGAAAATGAGGTACCCAGAGAAGTGAAGTGATTTGCTCTGGGTCACACAGCTAGTTGGTATCTGAAATTTGAACCCAGGTTCTTCTGATTCCAAGTCCAGGGCCTTATTCACTAAGCCATGCAGCCTCAGCTCTGAGGACAGGGACTGTTATGATTTTGTAAAAGGCAAACAGAATTTGCCTTTTCTTTTACATCTAACCCAGAGCTAACTTCTCCATCACCTTTCAAATCCTATTTACTAGTTAAGCAGACCGGATGTTTACTGCTTGGATTTCCTTAGCTCATTCTAGGCCATTAAAAATAGAACAAGGCACATACCGATATCCTCTCCAGGCTCTGACAAACCTCCTGGAAACTTCCATGCATTTTTCATCTGAATTTGTAAACCAGAAAACAAAACAGAAAAATCAATATACTGTGTCTTTCCTGAAACCAATAGACAAAAAATAAAATAAAATTCAAACCCAACACCCATTGATTAAGATACCTGGGGGTGCTTGGTCGTTTGCCATTTTTATATACTTAGACTTTTCAACTGTTTATTTTTTGTAAGACCTTAATTATATAGAAATAGATTTTTTTTGAAACTGGGTCTTCCTATCTTAATTAGGCTAGAATTGCAGTGGCCAGTCCTACTCTACGGCTTCAGCCCAGGCTGGTTCGCCCTTCCTTAGCTTGGAGGCCCTGGACTTAGTGTAGACACCCAATTGGCTTTCACCCTCCTGTAGCTCAGAACTCCTGAGCTGAAGCAATCCACCATCCTCATTCTCCCCAGCAGCAGGGATCCCAGGCTGTTTTTGTTAATGTGATAAAAATTCTAGTATGACTCAAACCACGGAGGGAAACATCTACTGAATGTTTGCAATGATAGATATGTGTGTGTGTATATATATATATATATATGTATATACATAATTAAGTTTGCTGCTAGTTGACTAGTTAAAGAAACACGGAAATCTTGAGGCTGCTCTCATTAAGTAGTTTGTATAATGCTATATGTAATCACCATTGTATGCAACTTTTAAATGTCCCTTTATTCTATCATATAGTCACCAAAAGATGCTGATGATATGATGATTACTGTCCTATGCCTTAAGTGACTTTATATAAAAGTGTACTTGCTTTTTGTGGGTGACACAAATAAAACATTTATTATTTTATGTTTGTCACACGGACTGTCATTTCTTTCTTGCTTTTTGGGGGGTAGGGATGAGGAAAGGGGAACAAAGAGGTGGAGGAGGAGGAGTGAGGAAGATCAGGAGGGAGCAGAAAACAGTGGCTGGTGTATTAAGTCTAGAGGACCCCGATTTGAATTCTGGGTCTCTTAATTACTGAGTCAACAGTGTGCTAGCCAAGGCGCTGGAAGAGGCAAAGCAAACAGAAACGGGAATTCTGTATTCTGCCCTCCTCGGGCCCTATGTGGGCTTCTGTGCTTAGCCCTGAGTGCCAAGGTTTAAGAAAGATGTGGTCCCGAAGGAATCATGGTGAAAAATGTTATCCAGCTCCAGAGAAAGAACTGATAAAATTTGAATGCAGATCAAAGCATAATTTTTAAACTTTCTCTCTCTCTCTTTTTTTTTTTTTGGTCTGTGTTTTCTTTTGCAACATGGCTAATGTGGAAATATGTTTTGCAGGACTTCACACAGGACTTCAGATGGCTTGCCCTCTATCATCCCTACCCTCTCACTTATCTTCGGTCTCTCCCTGTCTGTTGGCTACTTCCCCACTGCCTACAAACACACCTCTGTCTCTTCCATGGTCCAAAAAACCCTCGCATGATCCACCCATCCCCCATAGCTATCATCCCCCATCTCTCCTGCCTTTTGTGGCTAACCATCTTGACAAGGCCACCATAATTGGTGCCTTTACTTCCTTTCATCTCTTCTCTTCTTAACTCGGGGAAGGCTGGCTTTCGACCTCATCATTCCACCAAAACTGCACTCTCCAAAGTTACCAATAACCTCTTAACTGCCATATCTAATGAATCTTTTCTCAATCCGAATCCTTCCTGACCTGCAGTCTTTGACTCTGCTGATCACCGTCGTGTCTCCTGAATGCTTTCTTCTCTCTGAGTTCCTAGGGCACTACTCTCTCCTGGTTCTCCTCCCATCTGTCTGACCACTCCTTCTTGGTCACCTTTGCTGCCTCTTCATTTAGGCTGCACCTGGTAACTGTGGGTGCCCCCCCAAGGTTCTATCCTAGGGCCTTTTCTCTTCTCTATCTCTCCTATTTTGTTTGGTGATCTCAGTACCCATGGATACAATTATCATCTCTATAGAGAAAATTCTCAATCTATTTATTTAACCCCATCTTCCAGTCTCATGTCTCCAACTGCCCACTGGACATTTTGAATTGGGATAGTAATTTGGAATGATACACAAAGTGCACGTCCTTTGACCCAGCTATGACAATCCTAGCCCTACACCCAAAAGAGAGCAAAGGAAGAGGAAAGGATCCTTTTTGCACAAAATATTTATAGCACCTTTTTGTGGTGGCAAAAAAACCCAAACCTGGAAACTAAAGGGATGCCCATCAATTGAGGAATGGCCTAATGAGTGTGGTCTGTGGATATGATGGAGTATACTATTGTGCTATAAGAAATAAGGAAAGAAGTGATTTCAGAAAGGCATGGGAAGACTTGTATGAAGTGATACTGAGTGAAGTGGGCAGATTCAGAACAATTTATGCTGTAACGTCAATATTATAACAGTGAAGAATTTTGAGGATTTTATAAACTGATGAAGAATGAATTCTGAGAAGAACCAGGATCACAATCTATACGATAACAATAACAGCATAAAAAAACCAATTCTGAAAGCTCTAAGAACTAAGAGTAGCACAATGGCTGTCAATGATTTCAGAGGACCAATAATGAAACGTGCCATCTGTGACAGTGGGATAGATTCAGAGAGCACGAGACGTTCGCTTTTGTAAACAACAATCAAGGGAACGCGCTTTGTTTGACTACACATATGGATTACAAGTAATTTTTCTTTTCTCCTTTTTTCAATGAGGCAGAATTTCTCTTAATTAAAATCAGTAGACAGGTGGAATCAGGGGAAGGTTACAGATGTGAAATGTTGCATGCCCTTTCAGATGAGATCATTCTATTATTAGTTTTACCTAACTGTTTTAATTTGTTATAAGAGATCACTCATGAAGTGGGAGTAATCTGTAAATGTTTGTCATGTAAAAAAGGGCATCAATAAAACTTAAAACAATTAAAATAAACATGTCCAAAATTGAACTCCTTATATTTCCCCCAAACCCTCCCTCCCTCCGCTTCCCTCTTACTGTGGAGGGCTCCACCATCTTCTCAATCAGCTAGGCTCACAACCTATGTTTCAGCTTCACTCTCATCCCCATCCTGCCCCCACCCCAATATCTAATCAGTTGTCAGATTGTGGGGATTCTCCCTTCACAACACCTCTCCTTTGACACTGCCATGACCATGGTATAGGCCCTCATAACCTCACTCCTGGACTAGTGAAGTAACCTGCTGGTGGGTCTGCCTGCCTAAGTCTTTCCTCACTCCACTCACATCCCTTATTCAGCCACTAAAATGATTTTCTTACAGCCCAGGTTCGACCATGTCACCTCCCACTCAATAAACTCCAGTGGCTTTCTATGGCCTCCAGGAGCAAATACAAGATGTTATTTGTCATTCAAGGCCCTTCATTACTTGCCCCGTCTGACCTCCCAGTCTTATACCTTACTCTTCAATCCAGTGACCCCAGCCTCTTGTCTGTTCCACCAATGAGACACTCCATTTTTTGGCTCCTGTCATTTTCTCTGGCTGTCCCTCATGCCTGGAATGCTCTCTCTCTTTAACTCTGCCTACTGACCTCCCTGGTTTTCTTTAATTCTCAATTAAAATCCACCTAATACAGGAAGCCTTCCCCAACCCTTCTTAATTCTAGTACCTTCCCTCTGTTAATTATTTCCTATTTGTCCTGTACATAGCTTGCTTTGTATACATTTGTTTGCATGTTGTCTCCTCATTAGACCGTAAGCTCCTTGAGGGCAGGGACTGTCTTTTGCCTCTTTTTGTATCCTCAGTGCTTAGCATGATTCCTGGCACGTAGTAGGCACTTAATAAATATTTATTGACTGATTGTTGATTGATTGACATTACAGGCACTGTGAAAGCATGTTATTTTTTAGAATAAAGGTAAAGACAGTTCTTGCTTTCAAGGAGCTTACAGTCTAACGTGGAGACAACATGCAAACCACTATGTACAAACAAGCTATAGACATGATAAACTGGAAATCAGCTGAAGGGAAGCACTAGAATTAAGAGGAATTGGGAGGGAATTCCTATAGAAGATGGGATTTTAGTTGGGACTTGAAGGAATCTAAGGAAGCCAAGAGGTGGAGATGAGGGGGCAAAATATTCCAAGCATGGGGCACAGCCATAGAAAATGCCTGGGGTGCAGAGACGGAGCATCTTGTAGGAGGAACAGCCCAGAGGCCAGTATCACTGGATCCAAGAGCACATAGTAGAGTGTAAGATAGACGAAGACTAGAAAGGTAGGAGAGGGCTAAGCTATGAAGGGCTTTGAATGCTAAACAGATTTTATATTTGATCCTGGAGGTGATAGGGAGTCACAGGGTTTTTATTAAATAGTGGCATGGCAGAATCAGACCGGAACTTCAGGAAGACCACTTTGACCACGGAGTGGAGGATGGGCTGGAGCCGGTAATGCCATGGCAAGGAGACCAATCAGTAGGCTACTGCAATGGTGTGAGGAGTAGGGTGTCTGCACTGTTGGTAGTGTCAGAAGAGAGATGGGAGCGAACATGAGAGATGCTAGGAGGTACAGTCACCAGGCCTTGGTAACAAATTGGATTTCAGCCATCAAAGTGATCTTTCTAAATCATAGGTCTGACCATTTTGGCTTCCCTTCATTTTCTCCATTCAATAAACACCAATGGCTCCTTACTATCTCCAGGATGACATATTAAAACCCTATGTTTGGCTTTTAGAGCCCTTCTTACCTTTTGAGACTTCTTCTATCTTACTCCCTTCTATGTACTCTGTGATCCAGTGACACTGGCTTCCTCAATATTCCTCTCATAAGACAACCTATCTCCTGACTCCTTGCATTTCAACTACCTCTTCATCTGTGCCTCCTGGCTTCCCTGGATTTCTTTAAGTCTCAGCTAAGATTCTACCTTCTGCAAGAAACCTTTCTGGACCCCTCTTAATGCTAATGTCTTCCCTTTGAGATTATCTCCAATTTATCTTGTAGAAAACTTGTTTGTACATAGTTATTTGTATGTTGTCTCATTCGACTCTGAGATCCCTGAGAGTAACAGACTGTTTTTTCTTCTTTCTTTGTATCCCCAGTGCTTAACATAGTGCCTGATACA